ATAAAGGAATAAAATAGCAACAGAAAATTATCCTTAAATTTAATTTTTAGAAAATATTTAAACCAAATCAAGAAGAAATAAAATAACAAAATAAAAAAGAAAGTGAAAAAATGTATACCATATGAAATTTAAGGAGCGCTCTCAAATTGAAGCAAATTTTTCTACATTATTATTTTGTTATACTCGTACAGTATAAGGACACTAATAAAGAAATATAAAAACGACAAAAGTAGGGAAAGAAAGAAAAGAAAAAAAATCGAGTCCCGATTGCGTTGTAAATATACCGTAATTCAATATTGAAAAGAAACGAAAAAAAATGGAAGGATTCTATTGTTATTACAAAAAAAAAATAATAAACAAAAGAAAAGTTACAAAAAAAATTACGATGAAAAAAAAAGAGAGATAATTGGGGGAAGTGGGCTTCCACAAAATTATTAAAAAAATACTGGATTTTTTTTTTGTATTAAGAATGTTGATGAAAAAAGAAAATTGAAAAAATCAAAACCTTAAAATGCAATGAGATAGAATTTTAAAACGGAAAATGTTTTAAATAAAGAAAAGTGTTACCGTTAAGAATTTGAAGCCGTTGTATTATTATCGCTAAGAAAACTGCAACATTTGAAAAAATTGTTTAAATGAAAATCCCCCATTGTTACATTAGTGCTGCAATGCGAGTGGAACTTATAAATTGTAACAATATTACCTTGAATTGAATTTAATTGAGTCCGTCAGATCAAAACTTTCAATGTCTTCTCTTTACTGTTTTAGTGTAATTTACGGTCACAAAGAGTGCAAAATTTTTTGTCAAAATAATGGCAAATATTGGAAAAGGAAAAGTTATGTAACTTGAATAAGAAGTTTTAATTCAGTAGAAGTAGCTGTTCTCTAAACTAATCTGCAATGAACCTTAAAACTGGTAACATTACGCCTAAACTTATGCAAATATATTGCTTGTTAAATTAGTTTTCTCAAAAAAATTAAAATGAAAGGAGAAAATCCTTGCAATCTTCAATTTTTTTCACATTTTGATTCAATCAGTATAAAAGTACAAATTCTCTTTCTCTTCAAGAATTTTCTTTTTACTCTTTGCAGAACTGGTTTGAATTTTCTTTTAAGTTCGGTTTTTGGCTTTTCCATTTTTTTTTTGGGTGGTTTCATTATTCTATTTTTATTTTTGTTTTAATTTGTATTTTTTATTTTTTTCCATTTTTTTTTGTTTTTTGGGTCATTATTTTATCTTTTGGAAAAACTTTTTCTTTCATCTTTTCCCTATTATTCTCCTTTTTTTTTTTAATTTTTTCCTTTTTAATGATCTAATGGTTATAGGGCTTCAGACTTTAAGACTTTTTTAAAATGATTCATCGATTTTTTCCTATTATTTTATTTAAAATTTTTTCTTTATTCCTTTTTTGCTTTTTGCTTTTTAGTCCAACTATGCAGTTAAAGAATGGGTAAAATACTGAGATGATGGATAAGAAAATATGTTTCATTATTTTTTTTTTTGCTTTTTTTATTTTTATATTGTTTTAATATTAGGAGAAAATTTGATAAAAAAGAAGAGAATCACTTTTTTTTGTTTCTTTCTGATCCTTTATCAAATTATTAGGAAAATTTTATTAAATAAATTTTAATATTTATGTACATGGACATATTATAGTACAAGCGGTGGTTATTATTTTATAAATGGAGTAGTAATGTGCTGATAATTGTACTTTATGCAAACATTGAAGCAATTTTTTGTTTCCGAAAAATTTCACTTTGGAAAATAAGATTGTAGAAGCGAAAATTTAAAGTTTTGACTATTGAGCATATTTTCAAATTGCACATGAATTCACAATATTGTTTTCGTTCAAATCAATGCAAGTTCTTGAAAATATGAGTCCATAACTCAGAATTGCAAGTACTGAAATAATGAATCACTACATTTCTTATAAATTTTACAATTTTTTAAACTAATTCAAGCCCATGGGAATTTTTACTTCCAGACTCATTTAAATTTATGCCAATTCTTATTTGTCATTGTTGCATTATAAATATTCGTTAAATTATAAGAGACAACGCATAAGCACACAAAATTCTTAAAAATTCAATAATATTTTTTTAACAAAAATTGATTTGCTTGTGCAATCACAATTAATTATTTTAATTTGACACTGAAATGAAATTGATTTTTATTAAAAATTTTATTCTTAAATTATTTGACTTTTATCAAAATTTATTTTGATCACCCACATTACATGCATTGTTTAAAATTTTTATTGATTGACAAGTTAAAAAGAAATAGAAAAAAAAAACTGAAAATTTCAAAGTTCTTAAATATTAATTGGCACCTATGTACAAAACTCTCATCGAAAAATTGCTTACGAAACAAAAAACGAAAAATAAATCAAAATTTTTATTTAATTAAATTTTAAAATTCATTCGAACTTTACTTTGAAGTTTTAAAAAATTTCATAAAACCATTTTTCACTAATTAGATTTTGTTTAACTTTTACTGACCTGTGATAATTGCCACATTTTTCTTAACACAAGAACAGTAAAAAGAGAGAAAAAAAATTAAAAACTTTTATTTTTTCTTTTTTGTTATTTTCCTTCTCTCATACATAATTTATTGGCATAAAAATGAAATGAAAATTTCTCTTCTCTTCTCTTCTCTTCTCTTCTATACCAGAACAAAAGAATGAAAATTTCCAAAGAAAATATTTATTAATTTTAATGTTTTCTTTCTCTTTTTTACAAAATGCAAAAAAAAAAAGAGAAAAAGAGTCGGTTTAGGAATTTTCTAAAAGTTATTTCCTGTTTCCGGTTTCTGTTTTCTCATTTTTTTAACCCTTTTATAGTTTTGTTATATTTTTTGCCCCCTTTGTTTTGTTTTTCGGTTATTACTGAACTCGATGCAATTTATTAAGCAATCAAGAGCGATGAAGAATAAAAGTTTATTTGAAGCAAAAAATGTGTTTTTTTCCTTTTGTTTCGTAAAAGAGAGCAAGAAAAAACTTTACTTTACAAAATTGAAAATAGGAAACGAAAAAGGATACTGTGTAGAGTGAAAGTAAATATTATTTTCTTGTGCTTTTCAAAAGAATCAAGTGAAACAGAATGTAGATAGAGGAAAAAAAAAAATAAAAAGTTCATCATCAAACTGAGGGAGAGAGAAGCTGTACAAAGCTGAAGATTAGTTTTTTCGAAAAAAAAAATTATTTGGAAAACTGAAATCCTTATTACTTTTTTTATGTACACGTCTCTTTGTTGGAAAACGTAGAAAAACGCGTACAAAGAAAAACCATTTTTTTTTTTTAATCGTTTGTTTTATTGATTTAGTAATAGCTTTCTAAATGATAAAGGTACGGCACAATGCAGTGACTTACTTTTGATAACTAACAGCCTTTATGTCATTTTTGAGATTTATTAAACATTTAAATAAGCTTCTTTCGAAAACCTTACGGCTCAAGCTTCACTCAACCTTCAAGTTTATAAAAGTAAAATTTCCCAGAAAAAATCAATATAATTCAATTACTTCTAATCATGGTCGGTGCCTCTAGTTCCCAATAATTTTTTAAAAAAAAATTAGGTGCATAAAATGGCAGATACATGTTCAACCCTTTCAATCCTCAATTATATTGCACGAAATTTTTGAGTACGAATATTGCAGAAACATTTATTATTGTGTTGCACTATTATTTAATTCACCTGCATGACGTTACCTTATATCAGAATTATTTAAATTACAGTTCTGACTCGAAAAATCTAGTAGGTTGTTATCTTAAAATCTCTTAATTTAATTTTCGTTCTTACTTAATATTTATATAGTTATTGTCAACCTTAAAAGCGATAAAACTTCTAAGCATAATTTTGTTTTTATATGCATTTAAAATAGTTGGAAAGTTTTTAACTTCAAAATTATGTTGCCATAAAACTTTTTCTTTTATTCATCTTCTAAACATGTAAGACGAGATTTGTATATGTATGTAAAAATACACACAAAAAAATAAAAATTATGAAAAAAAAAACATTGTTAAGAAAAACCCAAACTTGTTCGGAATTTTCTTTATTTTTTGTTTTTCCAATATTTTTACACATACTCACATAAGTGAAAAGTTTCATTCCATTCCGAAAGAAAATAAAAACTGTGTACTTTGAAAAAAAAAATAAATTGTGATGCTTAACAATATTTTTTGTTCTTAAAATTAAAGTTCTAAACAATGTTTTTTTTTTTGTTTTAGAAAAATGTTATGATTTTTTTGTTACACCAACTTTTTTGTTCATATTTAAAAATTTTTAAGAAAACCTTACAAAGTAAAAAAAAATGTGACATCATGAAATATCTTTATTTAGAATTTTTATTTGAGGATTTAAAGCCAATTTTGCCATGTTAGTTACTGCTCTGAGACCCTGAATCATTTAACTAATCATTTAACATGAAAATGTTTTGCTCATTCGGAGATAGAGGATGAGTAAATGTGATTTATTTTGTGCAGAAGTTAGATATTGTTGCCGTTATACAATGTGATTCGAAGTGTTCAGAACTGAACAGCAGGAAACAATGGAGCATCGGCAATAATATAATTCTGTCTGTTCCACTGTGTAAGAAATATTGTACGAAAGCTATGCCTTCTTGATAGTGACTTAAGCATATCTCTACAGCCTGAAAATTACACGATGGTCTTATTTTAGAAGTCGCGTTAAAATTTATAAGGAACCTAAGTACTCGTATATTACCTATCAAACCTGTCAAATCCATACATTTGTATAACTGAAGTCGCCAATTTGGACCGCAAATAAAAAATTTTACGGAATTACTTAGAAAATTTCTAAATTATTTTCAATTATTTAGTCAACTAGTACTAGAAATTATGGCTTTCCATTTGGCTTATAGCAAAATTTAATAGATTCGATGATAATTACACAATTTTATTGTAAATTCAATTAATTAATTTTATTGTAAATAATAATTTGCAATTATATATGAATTCTAATATTTTAATTAAATATTCTATTATAGGTCTAGGAACGGGTAGTACAAGCAGTAGCAGTAGTTCATCAGCATTATCATCAACTGGATTAAAACCACAACAACAAATAATAATGCCAACACCAACACCACGATTTTTATCACGCGGTCATACATATCGAGCAATTGTTGGTGAAACTTTAACACTGCCATGTCAAGTTGAAAATTTAGGTGAGTTTAAAATGTCTTAAGACTTTCGTTATTTACATATATATTAATTTTGTTGAATTACATTTGAAATATATTTTATTTAAATTAATATTTTTGCTATCACAAATCAATAATCTCAAAATTACAGCTAAATTATTGCCAAAGTTATTAAACAGATTTTGTAGGCATATTTTTGTTTGGAAATTGTATAATTTTATTTCAATTGTCGCAAGTACTTGCAGTTACAGGACGTAATAAAATTACACAACTCTCAACCAGAGGAATCAAAACTTAGAAAACATTTCCAGATATTATACAGGGATATTATTCACTGTTTTGGTTAGATTTCACAATAGATTTGGTGAAAGATTTGGATGTAGTTTAACAAGAAAATTTAGTGTTTTTCAATTCTCATTAAACAAAATCAGTGGAAAATTATTAATTTTTAAACCCTCCCTTCTATAAACAACTTTGTTATATTTTGTTTGATTATTTCTAGAATACTTCCACCAAGTCTTAATAACAATAAAATTAAAAAACAAACGCTGTAAAAAAGAATTTGGAAAATTTAATTGAAATTAAATTTCATTCGATAAATTAAATATAAAATTTTTCAACATTCCACAAATTGAATTAGTCACCATGGTCATTTTAAACTTATTCATAATCATTAAATAGAACAAAATTCAAATGTAATAATTTTATTTGATCATTTCGCCACAACTGCATTAATTCTAAAAAAAAAAAATGGCGAAATTATAATTATCATCCATTGCAATTTACTCTTTTAGCCTCATACACTAAAATGTAAAAATATTTGTATGTAGGGAAAAGGAGTAGAAAAATTAAATTTGCAAATTTATTATATGAAAACAAGAAAACCATAATAAAAAGAAGAAAAAAATAATAGAGAAAGCCACAGTTCAACCATAAATTATCCAAAAATATTCCATTTTTTCGATGAAATAAAGGATAATAATTATACTAAATTTTGGTTTTTGTATAATATTTATTATGTAGCAGTTGTTTCGGAAGAAAAACTTAAACTTCCAGCAAGATACCAATACAAAATTATAACAATTTTTACAAAAAACAATTTTTTCTGGTATATTTTATTTAATTTTCTATTCCACTACAAGGGGCACTACACAGTAGTATAGTATTTTGTTATACAAAAATGTAGGTCAAATCGGTTATTGAATAACAATGGAAATTGTTACAAAGAGAGAAAGAGAGAAAATAATTTTATCAAGAGTATGTGTAAGTTGCATATTTATTATATAAAAGGAGAAAGAAAAAAACAATATTTATGAATGAACATTATTTTATACAAATAAATTATATGGCTAGATGGCGCTTGAATTTAAATGAAAAAAAATAATGTAGACAATTTTATTTTTGGTATAGAATCTGTTTTGGTTTAAAAAGTCTACTTAAAGAATAACATGAATATGTATGTATGTATACGTATATTATATAAAACGTCCGGTACCTACACTCATTCCGCTATTCATCATAATTATTTATATAAAGAATTTATTGGTGTTAATGCATATGGTTTGTATTTAAATGATTTTTATTTACATGACTACATATATGTAAATTTCAAAGAAATTTTTATCATTTTAAATTTCTATAGCATTTGTTGCATATATCTATGGATCTTGCAATGACAGAATATCTATGCATGCAATTTTTGAAAAAATTTAAAATATTAATTAATGAGTGGGTAGTGTAATATAAGAAGAAGCTTGTAATAAAATTATGCAACGTAAACTGATTTTTGTTAAAAATTCACTAGGAAAATGAAATATACGTGAATTAATAAAAAGTCGACTGCATCCAATATTACAATATTTTATTACTTGTAATTTCACTCAGAGAGTATACCTGCAATAAAATTAAAAAAAAAATTTACATAAACAATTCTTTGAGCTATAACCTTTTATGCCTCATATACATCATATATGTATGTACATAATATCAGTAGAGTCAAATACGAAAGATTATAGCGGTCTCCAGAGCTCCTTTATAAGAGAGAAGGTGAGGAGTGAAAAATCAACACTGATTGCATTATTACTCGTAAGGCACACATCACTTTTGAAACACATTATTTCGGAAGGGTAGCAGTGCGATAATTTATGAGTAAAACTTATGACTTGTTTCAATTATGTTAATTTTGTGCGATCATAGTTTGCAACTCCTCCCATTATTGAGCTTAATAATGAAATATAATTGAATATAATTAAAAGAACTTCTTAAGAGAAATTTAACCATTATTTTAAATCAAAACAAATTATTGTGAATTTTTTAAAATTTTTTCTACATAATTAATATTTACATGCATAATATTGCATAACACTCGTTTTTTAATGAAAAAAAAAATATCTGCAACTTCAAAAATATTCAACACATTATTATTTGAGTATGAAGTTCAATTAATTAGGGCACTAGAACGGATTTAAATTGGATTCATTTCGCACGATATGCTTGTATTCAATTTAAAATTTTTATTAAATGAATAAAAAAAAATAAAACTTGCAAGTAACAGAAAAAACGTTGTTCACAAAAAAAAAAACAAAAAATTGGAAATTGCATTTTATTTTTGCACGTCATCCCTAATTATTTTGCATATTTCCTTATTCGAAATACTGGATTGTATAACGATACCTATACGATACCGAAAACAAAAGGAAAAATAAAAGTTGAATAAATTTTAAATATTCCCAGCAACAGAAAATAATAACAATAAAAAACTGGGGTAAGAAAAAACTTGCTTTTATTGGTTGTGATTTTTATTTCTGCCAAAAAAAAAGCAATTTCAAAGTAAACAAGACCCTTATAAAAATGAAAAAAACATGAACGATACCAAACATAATGAAAAGTGGCAAACAGGAAAATCTGTTGGTCATTTTGCATTATTCTTTGTTATTTTTCTACTTGTACGGTTTTTTTTTTGATATTTTGATTTTATAAGCTCCTACATGTTATGTGCTCTTTGTTATATGAATCCATGTTTTTGCTAGAACATTGTTTGTGTATATGCAAGAATATTATAGCAGAAAAGTATATGATTTCTTTTTACATTCATCTTACTTTAGTTAAAATTTTTTTGATTTTCCAGTAAACGAATCATTTATTTAATAGTGAAGTGTGCGGAAATTGGAATTAGAAGAAGAAAATATTATTTTATTAAAGAAGGCGATTTTACTTTTTCAATTAGTTAGAAAAATGAGTGTCTTGTCCTTATATGCAATAAAAATTCTTTGCATTTCTCAAGAAGTTAATAAATGATTAAGGGTTTGAGAAGTGAATAAGTTTTTTGATTATTTCTATTAAACTGCGAAAATATTATTCTCTATAATTTTGCAGAATTCGAAGATAATATTGTATTAAGAACCATTCAAAGTCGTTGTTACCTTTTATTTCTTTGAATATTGTAATCACATACGACTCTCCTCCGAAATAAATTTTTCTCCGACAAATATTGATTATTCTAACTAATTAAGGCTATTCGAATGAGGCAAATAAATAATTAAGATTTCTTTTAATAATGGTATGTGACTAATAAGTAAAATTGCATATTTCGGGGTTTATTACTGTATTATTCATGTTAAAACTGCAGGGATTAATTTATTTAGTTTAAATATCGTTCGATATTGGCAAGACCCGTCAAGTTAATTTTGCACAAAATCGGAGTACTACCATGTTTTAATTTTGCATCCGTAGGTTACATCCGTAGAAGAACAATATACAGACTAATCCTATAATGCGGTCAATTATTGTGAAATCGTAATTGTAGAAATTTTGCCGAAATATTTTGTTTTGGACAAAAAATGAATCCAAAATCCGATTAAGTTCATAAAAAATTTGAATATCACATAGTAAGGGTGTTGTAATAATGTTAATTGTTGAATACAAAGTATATAAAATAGAATCAGAATGTTTAATCAAATTTCATGTGCCCTATCTTCGTAGTAATAAATAATTTATGCTTCATTATAAAAAACGTATATCTTAAAAAATAATGCCAGAATATTTGCAAATATGAAATGTTGAAAGCAAAATTATGCAAATATCAAAACATCTATTTCGCTTGGTAACAAAAAAAAAAATAGGAGCACTTCCCCGTACGTATACGAGCTTCACAATATAACATAAAATTAACCTACATACAAACATAAAATATTTATTAAAATTTACATCTATAAAATTGGTATATGTAACAGTCGTTTCTGTTACTGACATGCAATACTATACATAATTTATTGACTATGGCTATGGTAAATAAAGGAAGAACAATATTTAGAGAAGAGCAGTACGGAAGCAAAATGGCATGTTAAAACAATTTTTATGGATTTACTTTCCTCCTTACTTTTTTTTTGTATTTCTTTTTTTTCTTGTTTTGGAAAAATTGTAACAATTTTAAAGTAAAACAGTAATAGGAGCAACAAAAACCAGGACATAATTTTTAAATCAACAAAATTCACCCAATTTTAAATTTTAAAGATTCGAAGAAAAAAAATAAATTGATTATGAGAATTTAGGATTTCATTTGGTTTAGGCGTCCCTCCCTTTAATGAACTTTTTACTAGAAAATAATTTTAAAAAAGTTGAAAACTATTTTTAAAAATTTTCTTATTATGTTTTTGTTTTTTTCAAAACTTTTTTTTACCTTTTTAATAATTGATAAACAGTTATCAATAAAATAATAATTTGCCATAATTACCACGCAAGTACAATAAAAATTCTCTTTCATTGTTAAACTTATGGGATCAGTTACAAAATCTTAACAAATTAATCCGTAATTAACTTGTCAAATACTTGTAGAAATTTATTTTTAGCTCAATATTTTTGTAAAAAAAAACTTCTATGTAATTAACTTTTATATACTTAATAAATTATGGTACTATGTAGACCTACATTTTAGTAAAATAAATTTTCCGCATATTTTTGTATACATACTCGTACATAATACAAGTGCAGGTATTATTTTAGTAACAACATTCAACTAAATAGAT